TTGCTCCGTGAGCACAACGTTGACGATGTTCATGACGAAGAGGTCGTAGGCATCGTTGAAGAAGCCGAGGCCTCGTACCAGATACTTGTTCATGGTGAATTCGATTCTTTTCAAGGCGGCAGATTGAATGGAGCCGGCGAATTGTAGAATGACCGGATTGAGGCATGTATCGAAGCTGCAGCTCCCTATCTCATGCTGAGAACGGCCGTAACTCGCCTGCCTCAGATATGATTATGAGCGATTTGGTGTGGAGGATTTGGGATCTTGACGCTGGAGGAAGCGCGGATCACACGATTTGTTGGGACTTCCTCCTTCAGACTACATGTATAAACTTGTCCTGCGTATCGGTGGGTGTGTATCAACAAGATAGAAGCCGTCACGGCATGTTGATCAAAGACTACAGCATTAATTTATCACTACATGTACCACCACTACAGTGTAAACCCCTACAGCGTAGGTGCCATGTAGAGATACACTTTACCTTGTCGTCATCAACATCATCGCTGCAAGCGCTTCATTCAGCCAGATTGGGGCATCTAAACGAAACGTACGGCCCCGGATCACTTGGTTCTCGCAGCTGAGCCGGAGCTTCGCAAGTGAGCCAGCGCCATGTTGCACTTTTTCAGTGTGCGTGTTCACCTACAAGATGACGGTCGTGATGTTTCTGTACGCGCTTGATTCGATCCAACACGGCAATCGAATCTTCCCACCTGTAATCCCGAATGCAGCATTGGATCATTGCGTACGCGATCACGGCGATATATGTATACCTTACTCAGTAAGTTTCTAGAGTAGAAATGCTGGAGATCTGTACGCTGAGCTCTTCAACAGGATCTCCAGACTCCGTGTCCATTTCTCCGTCAGGTACAGCTCTAGAGTAGAAGCAATTGTCATGAACACAGCTCAGGATAATGGAGGGGTGTTGTAGGGCGCTTGCATCCCAGATCAACTGGACTGTCGCCAAAGATCTTGAACCTGGTCTTTTCCAAAAGATAACTGGCCATCATCTTCGAGCCCTGAATGAAATTGCAGCACCATACAATTTATCTACGGTACATGTATTATCCTTCGCATACAGATCGCACCAACCTTACCGTAAAGAATCATTGTCATAATCTCGCGATATTTCCAATAGGCGTAGACGATAAAGAGCTCGCCCTTATTTACATGTAAAATGCCAACACAGTTCCAATTCAAAACCGCACCGCTTGCTGCGGGTCCACAGCAAGCGTATTCTAATCAAACGGGTTCCACCACATGCCAGACTCGTCCATCCATCCTGCCACCACATCGTAGAGTTGCTGTCTCTGCGCTAGTAACATCACTTCCATCGGAGCAAGCTCCATCGTCGTCACGTCGAATGGACAAGTCTGCAGCAGCTTCCGTTCCGTGAAAGAACCGGGATAAAGCTCTGCAGGCCGAGCAGCCGTGCGGTACAGCCGACGGGAGTCTCGACCCCACTCTAAAATGTTATCGCTGTTGATATACAGCGGCTCAACGTCTGCTCCTGGTCCCTTGGCCGGGTTCCTCTGCACAGGATAATGCTGCAGTGCGTCTCCACACAAAACTCCATCATTTTGTCGGCCTTCCGTAAGAAGTTCCCAGCCTACAGTACCCACAGCATAATCTGAGAATTCGTACGCAGTCTCCGCCAACTCGCAGGCGAGCCAATAGAGCTCCTTATCTCCATAAGACGGCACAATTGGCAATCCATTTAGCGATACAAATGACGCTAGAATGACCGTCGCTCGAGGCTGCTGCGCCTTGTTCCACAACATCAGCGACGAGTCCATTTGGTGGCCACTACGCAGTCTCCAAACGTGGGAATTTAACAGAAATTCACTCGGTTGGAAGCTAAACTCTAGTCCCAGTGTCCTCGGTGGCTCAGGTCTCCGTTCAGTGTTTATAATACCGAAATTTCTATATGGAGAGACGTCAAAGCTCGCGAGGAATTGATGCAATGCACCAACATTCTCGTCTGAAGTCGTTCTCTTGGCCAAGTACGAGAGTTCGTAGCTGATACGGTCGTTGAAGAACAGCGTCCCCGTGCTCTTGTACTTAGATGTGTCCCATAGTGTCATGGGATTCTGGAAGAAGAGCGTGTCTGCGTCTAAAAGCATTATTTCCTGGAATTTCGAGAACACCACAGCCAGTACCTTGATGTCGAAGCTGCGGAACTTGTGGTGGCAGTGATCTAGATCCACGCAGAAGAGTTGACGCTGCTCTATTGCTGCGTTTGCAGCGCGTTCACAAACGTCGTAGAATGTCACGGATGAGTCCTGATTGTGCATCTTTTTCTGTAGGTTTAGACTCAAGTCTCCGCAGTGCGGGATCTCGATAGGGAGAGGAACTTGGAGACGACGAAGCTCCAGGATAAGAGAGAAGCCCAGCAGTGCGATATCGTCAAATAACGGCAGCACAATTCCACGAGTATTGGGCTCGTAGTGCTGCGTCTCGAGCCACAAGCTGGAGGTGAAGGTTTGGATCTGGTGTGGTGAGAGTGGAGGAACATTCCAAGCTTGGCGGCGACGGTAGGACAGGAAGGACTGCCATAGTTTTAGGGCGGTGAAGATCAGAAGACACGAGACTGCCACTAGGAGGCGGCGACGATGTGAGAGCAGCCACAGACGCCAGCGCGTGCGGTACCGCCGCCAGCGGTGCCGTCGATCTCGATCCCAGTGATCCCCAAGCATAGGGCCAATTCTATTGGCTAAATAGTTTTAGAACAATCTAGGTTTAGAGTTTCAATCTGACCAATCAAACAATTTGTACTTTTTCTTTTTCAATTTGTTTTCAAAAAAAAAAAACCAAATTGAAAAGGAAGTGTGTCGTGCGCCCAACTCGGGCGAATAAAAGAGACGCTCGGTTTTTCACCTACCCCCACAATATATCCGGCCATAGTATAGCGTATACTCCGGTGTGTACCCACCACCCCGCCACTCATTTCATTCAAAAAGGGGGGCAAAATGGCGGAAGATCGTCGGGTGAAGACTGCAGTGAGGCGCCCCCAGCGCCACAACTTGTGTGTTGAGATTAACGCCGACGCCGACGAGGCGTCTGCTGCGTCACTGGGAGCGCTCAGCGACGAGGAATGGGTGGATTTCGCCACGGATACTGGCAGCAACACGAGCGGTCAGTCCAAGCAGGGCCGATCTGGGGGGATGGATCATCCACGCCGCCTTCAGGACGACAACGAAGACGCCCAAGGACTGGAGGTGCTCGTTGCCCCGTTAGAGCGTTTTGAGTTCGACTCATGGGAGGATCTAGAGAGCTACTTGGCCAAGTACACCAAGGGGACACACCAGGTACAATAATGCTATACTTTCTATTCATTAGGCATTTATTAGCTGACTGTTGTACTCTGTTGAATCCGTAGAGCTTTCGTATCCGCACGAAGAACACAGTACTGCACGCAATGCCAAGATTCGCTCAACGGGGTCAAAGAAGCTGTTGTTGCCGGACGAGTGGGTGAACTACGGGAAGACCTACATTTGTACACACTCAGGGAGGTACAAGTCGAGGGGGAAGGGGAGGAGGAAGCGTCTGCAGTCACGGGCTATGGAGTGTGAGGCGCAGGTAGGCTTGCAAAACCTCAGCTGGGGTCAGTTGGCTGAGTTGGTTGTGGTTGGGCAATAGCATCATGAGAAATGGGTCGAGTTGGGACTAACTGTGTACTTGGTTCTGTGATTTCTTATTGCAGATCAATGCGTGTGTCCAAGTCGACGACGCTAAGGTCCCGACATTCATCTTGAGGATCACTTCCGCACGATTAGTGCATAACCACCCTGTGAACAAGCTTACGTACAACCAGTACCCACACGTGCGAACCGCGTTGGAGTCGGATGTTGTGGGTACAGTGAATGAACTTCGGAAGGCCGGAGCAAAGAAGAAGCGCATTCTGAAGTACATGCACGACAACACCGACCTGAACCCGTCAACGCAAGACGTGTCTAATCTGATCCGGAGATTGAAAGCCAAAGAGAACACGGCCTGGACCAGCACCACACGGCTGAAGAAGTGGATGAAAGAGTTCGCAGAGGAGTCTGGAAATGTTGGTAGGATCTTTGTGGATTCGGTGGGAGAAAAGGAATGAATTCATTCATGTTTGCTACGCCATGTTTTTCTACAATCTAACGTTTTACATGTCGTAGACGGTCGCAACTTGCATTACATTGCAGAGTAGACATATGCGTGAGCTCTTTGACCGATTTCCCGAAGTCTTGATGATTGACGCCACCCATGGCACCAATGCGTCTAAGTATAAGGTTTTCTCACTGATGGCACACGACGTTTTCGGAAAAGGACAGTTCGTACAACACGCAGTCATTCAAAACGAGCGTCGCCCGACTCTAATGACGGCATTGGAGGAGTTCAAGCGTAACAACCCAAGTTGGACCAAGATCAAGTGCGTCTTAATCGATAAAGATTTCACGGAGATGTCAGTACTCAAGATGGTCTTTCCGGATGCCATTCTATTACTCTGCCAGTTTCATGTCTTGAAATATTTACGGGAAGAGATAGCAAGCGCAGACTACGGATTCACGACTTGGCAGAAGGACCAGTTGAAGGGGGTCGTGAACTTGTTGGTGTACGCGCAGAATGAGCAGAAATACCTGAAGTATCGTAAGCACATGAGGCGCATCATATCTATGGGACGCGGTGGCGAAGCTCTCCGATCAGGATTGGGATCTAGATAGATGAGCCTGCGCGTGAATATTCTGTGGCGAAACGAGACTGGTCATGCTCTTGTCTATTTGCGAGCTCTCGTTTGCTTCCCTGCCGTCACATTTTCTTCCTTCGCAAAGCTCTAGGATACGAGGACATCATTCCCAACTGGATACTACACCCTAGATAGCTACTAAACTTATTGCGAAACAACAGTGGGTCCGATCCGCCCGAACTGTCTGGTGAATCGTTTTCGGTGGCGCCTATAATGCAAGAATCAAATGCCGTGTGGGACTCTAACCGCAAGTACCGTGAAGCCAATTACATCGCATTGAGCATCAGCGAGCATCTCAGTGGCCTCGGGATGAAAGACTACAGAACCGCAATGTCAGCGTTGCGCAACATCGCCACCCTATTTACGAGTGGAAAATACGATGCTATCGGTCAACACTCGGACACAAATTCGAAAGATTCAAGTTCTGGTGAGGATTTGCGTGTGGCGAGCGGCGAGACCGAGTATAACGAGTTACGCGTAGCGAGTGGTGAGACAACGTCTTGTGCAGTCGAGATTGAGGGTTCGGAGCTGGCAAGCTTGAGGTCGGACGCTGTACAGGTTACCCAGGCGGCTGCAGAGGTGAACTATAACATTGCTGACTTGGGCTCTGATACTGCTGACTTGGGCTCGGATACTGCTGAGTTGGGCTCGGGAAGTACTCAGTTGGGAAGACAGAATGCCCGGTTGGATTCGGATTGTACGGTGCTGACCAGACAGGACTGTGAAAATGAACAGAACGACATACCGAACAACAAAATTATTGAACTAAACGAGGCAGGGGCGAGAAGTGTGGATTTAACGGGTGTCAACGCTGAGTTTGCGCTACAAATCCCGCCAAAACCAAGGGGAAGGCCGAAACAAAAGCCCAAAGCCGCCAAAGCAAAGCGAAACCTGACGATTGCGATGGTGCAGGAAGATATGACGATGCATGTGTGCAATATGAACCTTGAGAAGGTTCGTGAACTACTGGACAACCATCCGACCTTCCTCAGTTCAAGTGAGACCCTGTTGCAGTTCAACGTCTTTAAGTTTCTGACAAAGCCGAAGCCCCCTATCGCGTACGAAATTTCAAAGCTACCAGCGACTAAACCGCTGATGCGAGAGGACGAGATTGTAAGGGTGTTTCCTTTGGATCTCATTAGGAAGTGTGGTGCCAAAGTGACTGCATACCAACGAAAGCGCAGAGGGGTCCGTGAACTTGATGTAGCTTTCGAGATTGTTGGATTGGGAGTATTCACGAATACAACGATCAAACTTATGAAAAAAATGGCACGCTGCCACTGTGGCATGTAAAAAGATCGGCAATGCCCTGACATGGATCTCTAAAATGGACTTTTCACGCCACGGCAACTCCGGCTTTTATGTCGAAGCTGACCCTACACTTCCGAATAAGCTGAAGAAGATGCAAAATCTGACCTCTCAGGTAAGGAGTACCCTTAACGTTTTTGTGACCAATAGAATACTAACAACGCGTATGCAGATAGAAGTGCTGGCTCTGGTTGGAAAGGAGTTGATCAGTGATGAGGTGATGCACAAGTTGCTGACCAAGCTGTTTCTACCTGGTTCTGGCGTTGTCGTATTTGACGCGTCCACGTTGGGAGTTGTTGTGGATGGAGAAGTGAGCACCTCCAACGATGTTATCAGAGAAGCGCTTTCCGGAGTCAGCAACGACAAAGTATTGATCCCTGTCAATTGCCATGGGAACCACTGGTGCTCCATCATGATAAACCTCGAAGGTGGCACAGTGGACGTGTATGACTCTAGCTCTTCATCGTACTTGGTTGGTGTGCGTGCAGTGGCGCAGAAAATGATGATACTTCTACCTACAAATGTCAAGAAACCAGCCCGTGTGCGAACCTTTGAGTCGAGCCAAGGTGTACAGACAGACAGCTACAACTGTGGAATCTACGTGTTATTGGGATTCGAGATGTTTTGTGGTGCTGAACCACTTGGATACTTGGACAAGAAGACACTACAATGCCTTCGCTAACGGTACTTCTGTAAGATGATGGAAGAATAAGTGAGAGATAGTCCATTGGCTCAATTGGCTCAATACATAAGTCTATCCTGCGTGCGTGTCTCTGTTGTCATAACACTCTTCTTCAAAGACGAACATGGGTAAATTGTGGAAGTTATTCTGATTGACTGAGCCCTGCAGGGAGATCTCACACCAGAGTGCGGCACCACACATCATGCACACTATAAACTCCAGCAAAGTACGATTTTTGACATCCGGATATACGTCTTGTGCGTATAGTTTTCGAACTGGCTTCTTTCAAATGGGTACCCAACTGGGTTCCGTACAGGCACGGTATGGGCACTACTGGGTGCTAGATGGGCGTAGGTGGGCTCGGTTGGTTGCAGGAAGCTCGTCTCAGATTTTTGAGTTGGGTGCAGGAACGGGTGCCATTGAAAAAGGCACTCGTTGCTGCCACCAACTGGGAATCCCGAGATGGGCCATTTGCCCCCAACTGATCCCCAAATCGGCTTATTGGTACCATCTGTTAACCATCTAACTCCAAAGCAAGGAACGAATGGCGCCCAAACCAAAGAGCCAGCATTTTGCTCCATACACATAACCGGATTATGGAAAAGAGATGATGTGAGCGGATTGGCGCCCTCGGCAGTCGGTCATGCGTGAAAAGCAAGTTCATTGACACATAAAGCTTTACTGAGCCCATTGACAGCTCTAACTGCACCGCAAGTCTTGGATTCATGCTCAAGCTCAAATTGATACCAACAATACACTAACTGAAAACTAATGCGTAGCTTGTCTATCACTCCCGGGTTATCCTTCGAACTACGTCTCTGCCTAAGTATTGTCAAGATCGCATGCATGTACGTATTAAAAGGGCAGAAAATGATGGAGCTAGCTCATCCAAAAAAAATCGTGCTTCGATAGACAACAATATCTTAGCCAATATAGCCTCAAGCACGAACAACATGAATAGAAAGCGAACTCTTCGTAGCTCTTTCTCATATATATATAAGGACTCTTCACCACTTAGAAGCAACATAATGCAGCGCAGACACCAACTCAGGCCGGATGAGAAAATCCTAGACTGCAACGTTTATGATTACTTTGTCGCTGAGGGGAAAATAGGTAAAAGTGGAGGGCGGGACTCACGCCAACGAACTAAGTAGGCGACGGACTTTGGGAAGAACACAATCTTTCGAGTGCTGCTGGCCAGGAACCTCAATCCAGACACCGATTTCGTCGAGGTGTAGCTGCCATTTTGGTCCATGGAGGGTTATAGCTATTCTATTGTGATATCATATGGTAACCTACAAATTAATTAAATTGCTAGGAGACAGCTCCATCGACACGAAGTCGCATAAAACTATACAACGATAGTGATCTTTAAAAATTATCGTTCGCGAGTTTGTAACTATGCAAAATAAAGCAGCCAAGCCGGTGACAGTTCAGCTTATCTGCGGCCATGTCGAAAGTGTACTTGAAAAGCGATACAACGTCCGCACAATGCGAGTTTGGCTAAACGACGATGATGGCGAGTAAACTCTCTCTAATTTTATACAAATCTCAATTCTTCAATTTGAACCTTCTATCACGAACATTTGTACTTACATATGTTTTGCACTTTCCACAGGAATAGGATTACCACAAAATAGCAACTGTTTCCCCTTTTAAATGCCATCCGAGACACCTTCTTGCGGAGCTTATAGCGTCAAAACTACTGTGAATTCACCATTTTTCACACCAGAATCATACTCAACATGGGCGGTTTTACCATATATCTAAATACCGTATCTGGCTTTTTTCAAATCTGAAGGCACCCTGCGACCTTGATTACTAGCCCCTTCATTTTCTGCCGCTGTAATAGGTAGCGGTATCTCATGCACTGAAGCGTCTTCTTGTCCAGAAGATCTAGTGGCTCAGCACCGCAAAACATCTCGAATGCCAGTAATACATATATACCGCAGTTGTAACTGTCTGTCTGGACACCCAGACCCGACTCGTAGTTCCTCACTCGAAATCCCTCGTCAACCTCTCGAGGTAGGAGGTTAATCAGCGTTTGTGCCACTGCACGGATACCAAGTAAGTAGGATGAAGGACTGGAATCGTAGATATAAGCCTCGCAAGTACCCAGGGTCAGCATATTCGAGCACCAATGATTGCCGTTGCAATTCAGTGGAATGGGGACTTTTTGGTTTGTTAGCCCAGATGGTTCCGCACGAATAAGCCCAGTAGATGCCGCAACGTGTCCATCGACAGTCACTCCCAGCATTGCAGTGTTTAACACCGCAACACTTAAATCCTCTCCGTGCTTTACCTCCAGCACTTTCCCATTACTTCGTCACTAATCACCTCTTTCCCTACCAGATCCAAAACACTTGTCTGTACCATTCAAAATCACGGTAACCAGTAACAAGACACTCCAAATATAGTACAAAATGCGATAAAGTATACCTTGTTGGAGAGAATCGGGATTGCTTTAGCTTTTCTGGTAGTTCTGCGTCTACTTCCACAATAAAGTCAGTGTTTCCGTGGCGCGAAAAATCCAGGTGCTCCAACCAAGTCAACGCTTTTTGTATCTGCTTCAGAACTTTGGTAGCACGATGCCAAAGTCACGCAGTAGTAATAGTTGAAGCGGTCAAAACTCCCACTCCAACTATCTCAAGCCCAACTTCAACTTCAGAAATCCCACGATACTTTCGCTGATATGCCGCAACCCTAGCACTGCATTTTGCAAGGATCTCCATCGGTAAGATCCTCACAATTTCGTTGGGTCTCATCAATGGTTTCACTGCTGGTAGTTTTGAGATTTCGTGAGCAATTGGAACTCGCGGCTTCTTTGCAAAAGCAAACATCTTGAACTGGGAAAGCTTTCATGGGCCGAGGTGTAAATAGAACGAACTGATAGTAGCTCTTTAACCGAGGTTAGACTGAGATCCTTCTCAAGCATCTCCATATCTTCTTGAACCATCGAAATGTTATTGTTTCTCTTTACCGCCTCGCATTTTGGGAGGACTTTCAATACGAAAACTATCATTCGTGTCTTCGAGATTGCATACACGGGCGGGGCTTTCATCACTGGGTGGCGCTCTGACTAGATTCTTACAAATTTCCAACTCATTCCCAACTTGGTCCAAGTCGTCGCCAACTGGTTCCAGCCCGTCACCAGACGTAATCAATTCGCTTTGTTGCGCTTCTTGAACGCCTTTCGCTTCGGTTGCGTGCAAACTGAGTTGGTGCAGCCGGAGTAGTCGGAGTGCCACTTAAATCCTCTTCTCGTGAGGGTGCACCAATGTTCACAGAATCCGTCATAAACTGGCCAATCTTGAAGTCACCCTTCTTTTTGCGGGTGACGGCTGTTTGAAGAGCTTTCATTGCAGCGTTGTATTCGCGCATGCCAAGTCCACTCAAATACTCACTCATTCTATTCGCGACCACGCTAGCCTCTCGATCTTATCTATTTGAATCCCACACCACATTTTTTTCTTGAAGAACAGGACGAATAGCAAAAGCTTCTTGGACGAACTCATTCATCGATTCGTCCGCATCGGTTCTTGAGCGTAGCGAGGTTAGCAACCATCTTGGATGATATAGTTGGGTAGGATGTTCTCGTACTCCAACGCCTGTCGAAGAAAAAATGCATGCCGGCACGGCAAAAGACGAGAGCTCATGAAAAGACACGAGCACGTCCAGTCTTTCTTTATCACAGAATATTCCGCGTGTGGCTCGTCCAATGCATTGTCATCGTCGTCATCAGAATCGAGTTGTATTAAAACCACCCCTGGCACCGGCTCTTGAACTTATATTTGCATGTGTCATCGCATGCCAACCTAGTACCAACTGGTCCCAACTCGGTATCATCTCGACCCACATCATTACCAACTGGGCCCAAATCATCCTGGCCAGACCCCAACTGGAGTGGCGCTTGATGCCGAAACGTGTCACTTCCTACAGCCAGAATATGCTGCATATAGTTTCGACTCTTCAGGAAAGAATGCTCAGTTTTTACGTACACCAGTAAATTCGCCATTCCATATAGTTGTTGCTTCTGCCACGGAACCCTCCCCCCCCATAATCCGACAACCAAATCTGTTTCCGTAGATATTTAATCACATGAAACTGGCAAAGCAGAACGAGTGCCTCTGGGAATGCAGTCTTCAGCACACCTAGCTCCATAATATCCTTGTCTATCAGAATGCGTTTCACCCGTGTCTACGACGGATTGTCTCTCTCAAACTCCTCCAAAGCCGTCAAAAGCGTCGATGTACGCTCATTTCTCATGATTGCATGCTGAACAAACTGCTCATTGTCAAACGCGTCGTGCGTCATGATAGAGAACACCTTATACTTGGACAAATTGGTGCCGTGAGTGGCATCTATCATAAGCACCACCGGATACAAGTTGAATAGTTCACGCGTATGCTTCGTTTAATACACATAGCCACAGACTGTGAGAGTACTCCCGTTAGAAAGTTTATCACACTCACACATATATAAATATAAACGGAGCTCACTCATACCTTCTCTTGTACCGTATCCACAAATATGCGCTCAACATTACCGGTTTGTTCCGAAAACTCGACCATCCATTGCTTCAGTCTTTTTGCGCTTGTGTTAGCCGTGTGTTCTTGTTTCTTGAGTTTTCCGACCAGGTTATGCACGTCTTGGAGGGTAGGATTGCAGGTTGAGTTGTCGTGAATGTAGACGAGTATGTTCTCCTCTTTTGCACCTGCTTTTCGGAGCGCATTCACCGTCGTAACCACTTCTGGTTCTAATGCAGTTCGGTTATGGGGGTACTGGTTGAAAAACCGTTTGTTGAGCGGGTGATTGTGCTCCAATCTTGAGCTAGTTATCCGCAGTGTAAACGTAGGCTCTCTGCCGTCGACCACTTGACCACAGGCGTTGATCTTAGCAGAGAATCACAAACTCTCAGTCAGTCGAATCGACACCCAAACATATCCAAATGACGCTGGCCCAACCGGTCCCAAACTAAGTCCAACTATGCCAAGCTAAGCCCAACCGTGCCAAACGGATCCCAAACGGCCAAACCGGTACTACAATAGACATACCTGGGTTGCACACACTAACGCGCGGGATTGCTGTCGCTTCCTCTTCCCTTGGCCACGCAGACTGTACTTACCGGCGTGCGTACACACGTACGCCTTTCTATAGTTGATCCATCCCTCAGGGGCGAGCGTAGCGTTGGAGCCTGAAGCCTGAATTTTCTTATTTCGAGTTGTGACTTGGTTGTTCGTGCGTTCGCGGAGGCTCCGCACACAGACAGTTTAATTTCAGCAAATGTAAACCAACCTGGTACGCGCTCCGCTCATACGCACGTAGGTAGTCTTCCAGCCCTCTCCAGGAGACGAACTCGGTCTTTTCAAGAGGTGCAGCGACAACGCTTACCTTTCCTTCGCTGTCGCTACTCGAGGACATTCGTCAATGTCCAGATTTTTCAGATTTGCCTTGCTTGGAGTGCGACGAATGAGTACTGGCGGAATCCAGTCACTCCTCGTCACTATCCGCAGACGACAGACACCTTTCATCAGCTCTCGTGGGGTCCTCGCCGCTTCCTAGCTCTCACGACGCTTTTGTGCGAAGATCGGGAGCCATCCCGTTGCTCGATCC